CCCCCCGGTTCCCCCCGAATCAACCCGGGACCCGGGGGGGGGTTTTTTCTTCCCAACCTGGTTTTTTTTCCTTTCGGGACCGGGTGGGGCCTTGGATTCCGGTTTCCGCCGGGAATTGGCTCGCCTCGGCTCGGCTCGGCTGTGGAGTCCTGTGGTTTTGCCGCGTGGGACGGGCTGCGTCCTGGGCAGATGTCCACCTGCGAGGAACGCCCCGCGGCGGACTGACCGTCCGCCTGGCCCGACAGTCGCCCCGTCCAGGTCGTGGGTGCTGAGTCCCGAGAGTCGGCCGAGTCCAAGTTTCTGGGACGGGCGAGGGCTTCGCACCGGTCGCCAGGGTGCCGGGCGGGCAGCCGTGCGTCCGCGTGTGGACAGGGGCGCCAGGGGACCGTGCCGACCGGGTTTCTGACCCCAGGTGCTGGCTATGCCCCTTGTACCTCGCGGGGAGGCTGATCTTGGAAAACGTACCCGGATTTAGGTGGTCCGTGGCGGAATTGAGGGTTTCATGAAAGTGAAGGGAACCGCCAGTCTCAGGTAGGGAGAACTTCTGCTTGCCTGACGGATTTCAGTGCTGTTTGGAAACTGATCTCAAGGCCTGCAGGTTCAATACATGTGCATTTCCTTGTGCATCCACGGCGGGAGGAGGTGCGTGGTTGCTTGTTACGATTCTGGAAACACAATTGCATGAAAGCCTTCTGACTTTTCTCAGACTCGTGTTTTTATATTTGGTTTCTGCTGTACTTTGGAAGGTATTCAATACTAGGACAGAAGGAAATACAAACATGAAGTCTGCTTGCGGTCAAATGAGGAGTGGATTTTGCCCATGGAAAATATTGGTCCACGAGCTGGTAGCCCTGGAGAACTGGCCTGTAGTGATTCATTGTCTCAATAGAGAGTCCCGCATGAAACTGATGATGAAATTGCAGAGGGGAAAGACAAGATGAATTTCATATATACATTATCATAAAATTGTATTAAGTGCTCACCTGCTTGGGGAGTTAGTTGAGACTCTGAGTTAGACTGGTGTCTGTATTAAATCGGTTCAAAATGGGCTCTTTTTAAAAAAAATTTTTTTTTATTTCAGAAAGGAAGGGAGAGGGAGAGAGTGAGAAACATACATGTTGAGAGAGGATCATTGATGGGCTGCCTCCTGCGCGCACCATACAGGGGATTCAGCCCATAACCTGGGCATGTGCTCCGACCCAGAATCGAACTGTGACCTCCAGGTTCTTAGGTCAAGGCTCAACCACTGAGCCCCGCCCAGCCGGGCTGTGCTCTTATGTTATGTCTTAATAAGTCATCTGGGAAGAATTGGATGTCATTGGGCAGTGATTAACATGTGAACATATTATATGGCCTACATTGTATGCTAGAAAGCTAGAAACAGGTAGTAGGTCCCAGTACTACTGGGGCATATAGTGAATAGACCTAAAAAGATGTGACTATAAATGTATGAAGCTTTTTTGGGGCCTGAGTTATTTGATGCCAATTTGTATATATTATAGTTGAGATAGTCTGAGAATTGTTATTCCTTTGCTACTTGTTGCATGATTTATATCATTTTCTTTTCATTCTAGTAGTTATTATGATATTTTTTATTTGAATGACAGACTTTTATTAGGCATGTGAAGCAGGAGTTTTCATATTTCAGCTCATTGATTCTAAATTTATGACTTCTAAAATTTGTATTTAAAAATTGTTTTTGCCTTAATCCATTCTGAATTTGTTGAATTCTTGTATATTTATTTGAACTCAGATGAAACAGCTTTAAAGCTGAAAGCATTTTTATCCATTCTTTTGGAGTAGTCAAAAGAAGGAATTCTGTTGTGCTGAGTAAAAATATTATGAGTGGGAGATAGCCAGGCTTGTAGAGATTAACTTTGAAGAGAGTAGTAGCAAACATTTTTTTTTTTTTTTTGTATTTAGGGTCTGCATTCTAGCTTGCCATTGTCTTGAAGTGGTGTGGGGATGATTATGGCTGGATAGAGGGTGTTTGGAAAATAAAATAGATTAGCCTATGGGATTCCCATGATCAGAGTTTTTTGCTATGTCTCACAAATTTTTTAAGAAAGATAGTTTTATTGATTTCAGAAAGGAAAGGAGAAGGAGAGGGAGCTAGAAACATCAATGATGAGAGAGAATCATTGATTGACTGCCTCCTGCATGCCCCACACTGGGGATTGAGCCCACGACCCAGGCATGTGCCCTGACCAGGAATCAAACCATGACCTCCTGGTTCATAGGTCGATGCTCAACCACTGAGCCACACAGGCTGGGCAACATACTCAATTTTTAAGGAGAGCATTAATATTCTCAGCATGGAGACTTGATTTGACTCTTGGCTTTTCAGAGTGGGGAGTGATTTTCACTTTATGGTCAATGGAGCTTAATAAGGAAGATGGGATTAAGCAGAACTTGTATCTCAACATTCTCCTTTTCATACTTCATTTACTTTCCATATTGTACTCACTCAGCAGATAGGATGCCATCATTGTTTTGAGTATAGTAAGTTTGTGCTCATGCTGACTCCTTTCTGACATTTTGGGGGGAATTTTTAGTGTAATTTTTGGGGATTTTCCTGGGAAACTTTTAGGCATATATTCAGTTGATTTGGAGTTAGATTTGGGCTAAGATTTGAAATTCTGAGCCTATATTTGAAATTCTGAGCCTTCTTGTTTTCTAAATAGTCTTAAAAATAGAAAACACAATTCTTTATAAACACTCATGAACAATCTGGTTACAGATTTTGTAGTGATAGACATAGTACAGCCAAAAATATATTCAAGAAACTTTTCCTCTCTTTGCCCAGTTTAGAAAGCTTAAATAAGAAGTAAGAAAATAAAGTATTTTTTTGAATAAAAGCCTGATTTTCCCAGACTACGAAGTCTAACAACTGTTTGCTGTGGTATTTTCCCCCTTGCCTATTCTAAATTCAGTAAATACTACCTGTCTCTAGTCCATGGCAAAAACTTAATTCCAGTAGGGAATTCTTAGTGATGGAGGTCTCATTGAGGGATGCAAGTTTATGCTGGGGAATTTGGCTTGGAAATGTTAAGTATGGAAACTTACTTTATTACAATATTGGTATTCTCTGTACCCAGGTTCTCTGAGGGGTGGGGGTGTGGCACAAACATCACAATATTTGGATTTTTGTTTTCAAACTATAGGTTTTCTCTTCCTTTCCCCCTCTTCCCTCAACCCTTCGCTAAATGAGCCTTTGCTACTTGTGGGAATATATTGTGTCCCTCAGGTGTGTGGGGCTGAACAAAGGCTGAGAATCTTGGTCCTTTGCTGATACTGCCTAAGTCAAATTTCCACTCCCTATAATTTGGCTGTGTTACTTTCATTTTTGCAGAGAAATACAAATTGTGGTGAAGAGACTACAGATGTACCCAAGAGTAAGATTTATTGCATTGTGTAGTACATGTGGAAGAGACTAGGTGATTGTTTAGCTGAATATTTATTAAATTGTTTTGATTATGACTTATAGTAAGAAATACATATACCCGGATTCAACACATGCTCACAAAGTTGAAAGAGAAGTTTGGCAAAACAATACTTATCTTTTTAGAACCTTGCTAGAGCTGGCTCATCATACTGGTTTGCAAGGCAGTTATGCATTTCTCTTCCTACTTAGTCCATGTTCAGTGACATTATGTTGGTAGCTTGAAATCAAGTATTTACACCAGGGGAATCAGCTAATGGTATATTTTAGGGCTTTTTCCACTCTGTATAGCCACTGTTAAACATTTATAGCACTCTACTGCCTACAACACACCTTGATATTTTCTATTTAATTTTACTTAAAAAAATCTAGGTTTTGACCCCTTAATTTGTTTTACAGCCAGTTGATGTAGCAGCTTACAGTGGTTTAGTCCACCTGTTTACTTTGCAGATATACATGCTAAAAGACTAAAGTTGAAGGTTATATAGTTAGTTGTTAACAAAGCCAGGTCCCTGGACTCCTAATCTGGAGTTTGTTTCTAGTGGACTTCTCTTCTGTCTTAACCCAAGCTGTTCATGTAGCTCAGTTGAAGGGCCTCATACTTGTATGTGCAAGACACTGCATTAAGCACTTTGAATACAGATGCTTAAGGCATGAACCTTGACCCTGAGGCCTTTGTGCTCTTGTGGGGGGTTAAATATGGAAGCAAAGATAATGTAAGGCAGGAAGTATTGTGTAGTAAAGAAATATAGATAAGGTACTACAAGAGTTTAGTGCAGTGGTTCTCAAACTTGGCTGCACATTAGAATCACCTGGGAATATTTTTAAAATCCTGATTTCTGGGCCTCATCCTCCGGAAATTCTGTTTATTTGTTACTAATGTTGTGGCCCCACCCCATAACAAAGAAACAGAATTTCCGTAGGATGAGGCCCAGAAATCAGGATTTTAAAAAGATTCCCAGGTGATTCTAATGTGCAGCCAAGGTTGAGAACCACTGGTTTAGTGAGAGGAGGGAGAGATTACTTTTAGTTGAAGGACAAAGGAAATGATGACTTTTACACCATGCTTTGAAGAATGGATAGGATTTGGACATGTTGAAATAAGATAAATAGTATAGAGAGAAAGGCCTTTCTGGGCCAGGGTGATCAAAAGGCATAAAGGGAAAGAGCTAGGCAAGAAAGAGTCAGTACCAGATGGTGAAGAGCCTTGAATGCCAGTGCCCCTTTCTGCTTTTCAGTTTACCTTTCATTTTTGTTTCTGGAGTCACCCAGTACTTCTTTTTTCGTTGTTGTTAATCCTCACCCGAGGATATTTTTCCATTGATTTTTAGAGAGAGTGGAAGAGAGAGGGAAGGACAGAGAGAAACATTGAAGTGAGAGAGAGACACTTGGTTGCCTCCTGCATGCACCCTGACCAGGGCTGGGGAATCAAGCCACAACTGGTACATGCCCTTGACTGGAATTGAACCCGGGACCCTTCAATCTGCAGGATGATGCTCTATCCACTGAGCCAAACCAGCTAGGACCGCCCAGTACTTCTTAACATTAAATAAACTTAATATGCTGTGCTCCTGATTAGAATATGACCCAAAGAACACTTAGGTATCTATTCTTAGAGTAAAAGCCGAAGGGAAAAGTATGTGTTAGGGAAACAACCTTAAGTTTACAGTCCTAAAATTGTTGCAAAGGGAAAAATATTTTTATTTTTTTTGTAAGGAGATACCATTATTTTTTGTTTTGCCAAATAGACAACATCAAATTGGCTGTAGCAGAGCAGGAAACTGTTTTGAAAGTCTTTTCAAAGTGCCCTCTAAAACGTGTTTTCTAAATAACTGGGACTTAATTTTTGGAGGCAGGTCTGGTTCGGACAGAAAGGCATTTTATATAGATGCTCAGCTGAGCTGACTAGCTTTCAGAATTTAGGGCAGCAAGGCCGGGTATTTCACACCACAGCCAGCTGTGGGAGGGATTGATAGATTTTTTTCACTCAAAGAAGTTCCTTGGATTTCAGCATTTATGTGTGTGACAGCCTGTATGACAGGATGTTTTGAAGTCTTAAATGGAGCTTGCCTTGTTCCACAGTGGAATT